GGTTTAGGAGTGCAGCGGCTCTAGAGACGGTCCCCCCCCCCCGCTCCTCTCTCCCGTCCCCACCCCAAACCCTTCACCTAGGAGCTGCCAAACATCTGGATCAAGCTGAGCACTAGGAGGGGTCGAATTGCTACCAGTAAGGCGCTGTTTTACATTTTTTTCCCGACCTCCTGCTCACATCCGTAAAGCCCACTGAACTGTTTTACTACACTTTTTATGAGAACAAGACATTTTGTAGGAAGATGGTGGCAGAAAAAGAGACCCTCAGCTTAAACAAATGCCCAGACAAGACGCCGAAGAGGACCAAACTGCTGGCACAACAGCCACTCCTCGTGCACCAGCCTCACTCCTTGGTTTCTGAGGGCTTCACAGTCAAAGCTATGATGAAAAATTCAGTCGTAAGTGATCTTCTTCAATTGAAAGCACTCGCTACAAATCAGGGGACACGAAATTGTAGAGTTGACCAGTTCTAGAATGAATTCCAAGCCCATGTCCCGGGTAATGTTTGCCAAAAGTGGCCATGTCTCTTGGCCACTAACAGACTTGTATGGTCAGCCTCAATTAGAAAGCCGCTTGGGCAAGAAATATTCCCTACCCATTTATAACCGTCTTCCTGACAACCTATGATTTCTAGATTACTCTGAAGGTATTTACATGAGGAAAAAAAGATTCTCTTTCCTTATGGATGCCCAAACTATCCCAGCAGAAGTCTTATAAAATAGTTCTCAGCAGCCTCTTGCATGAAATTAACATGAGTTGATTAAAAAAGAAATTACCACAAACTCATTAAATAATCTACAATAATAAGTTTATTGTACTAGGACATTTTAGAATGTCTTAGAATTTCCATAACATTTTTATAAAAGGATTTCAGCCTGTTAGTGTACTGAAGGAAACAATGTGCTGCCTGTTTCCTGAATTGTTTTAAAGTACATTTCAAATAATCTAAGCTTTAGCTCTAGTATGTCTAGACCTAAATCTCTAGACAACTCAGAGTTCATTATTTAGATGACAAAAATAAAATATTCTCATTGCCATTAGGAAAAAAAAATTTCATTTCACAACAAATGGCTATATGCATAATATTTTTCAAACCTTACTATTTGTTAAATAGCTTTGAATCTGATGCACCAAGCCAGATGTTGTACTGCACTGGCACCTGTCTGGGAATGAGACCTGGAATAACAAATGCAGCTTTCAAATTTGTATCATTTACACCTTAGGATGATTTGACTTATTATATCACTATTTATTTTGTTCAATGAATAGTGTTCTTTTCCAGCACAGTATTATTTTTTATTTGTATGTTTCAAATCTAAAAATACTCTCTTCCTAACCCATATTCTAAAAAAAAAAATCTGTGAATGAAGATTACCTAGTCCAGAATTTACTACGTGTATTTTGCCTGTGTCGTTAATTTACAGTATTTAATTTATGGGGCTGGAGGGCCTCCAGGTGAGCTCAGTTGTTTAAGTGCCTGCTCATGCAAATGTAGTCAGGCACAGGGGACCACAGTACAACCCCCAGCTCCACATGCCTTACCAGACTCACCTTTAAGGCAGCCTGAGCCAGTTCCCCTCAAAAACAAAAAACCAAACAATTGGGGGCTGGAGTGGTAGCTCAGTGGTATAAGCACCTGCTTGGCAATCGCAAGGTCCTGAATACAGTCCCCAGTACCAAAATAAGTTTCATGCCAAACTACTTAAAATATCTACAGGTAAATTAAAAATTACTGCTTATGGTAGTTGCAGCCTTTCTCATTTTAAATCTATCATTTCAAACCTGTTCACTTAGAACATATAGAAATATACCCTAAGATATATACAAATTCAAGATATTTCATTGACAATACTGTAAGGGTACAAATAAACAAAATTGTTTATCAACAGATTTGGTCTGACAGACTGAAAGTAGAAATTCTTATTTAAGCAAATTATTTGCAAAATAATGATGAACATAAACAGATAGTTTTTGAAATCCCAACTATAAATGTTTTTTAGACATGGTTCACTTCATAAAACTTTGTTGCCTTTTTTTTATTATTATTTTTTAATTTTAAGGGCCTCCACCTCCCTTGTGCTGATGATTGAACCAAAGGTCTTGTGCATGCTAAGCAAGCACTCTACCACGGAGCTACATCTGCAGCCCTGCCTTTTGTATAAAAATAAGTAATCATGAAAGCCCTGGAATTAGTGAATAATAATTTAAATTCATGTTGTTATAATGTTTTCCTAGGGGCCTGGAAGATGGCTCAATGGAATAAGTACTTCCCTGGCAAGCACAAGGGCCCAAGTTCAATCCCCAGTTTTGCAAAACAAAAAAAGAAAAAAAAGTTTTCCTATATAGAATGAAAGGCAATACATAATTTGAGAGTTTTGTCTATTTTCCTCTGATAGCCCCTACCTCATACCTGTCTTACATGGAAAAGGACTACAAAAGCTATGTAGTTCCAATCCCGCATAATCTCCAATATCTACTTTAGGCAGGGGGAGAGAAAAATCAGTATCCTGCAAGAAGGAGGTAAGATAGGTCAGTGGCACGAGCGCCTTCCTCAGTTTGAAAGGAGAGAAAGACAGACAGACAGACAGACAGACAGAGACAAGAGAGAGAGAGAGACAGAGACAGAGACAGAGAGACAGACAGAGACAGAGAGACAGACAGAGACAGAGAGACAGAGAGAGAGAGCACATGAGCACAGCTTCATTGTGAAGGCATATCCCAGAAGTTTCCCTTATCACTTCTGCTTGAATCTATTGCCAAAACTTAGGTTATGGCCACAACCGGTTCCCAGAACAGCCAGGAACGTAGTCTGTAACTAACAGTTCTGTGTCTAGTTAGAGCAGAGTGTTTTATTCTTGTAGTAAAGGGAAGTAGGGGCATTGGGAATAATCAGAAGTGCCTGCCAACAATGCTAAATATGCTATATCGTAAGTGTAGAAAAGGAGAGGAAAAGTAAAATGATCTTAGTACAAATAGTACAAACCTATGATTAGGCTTGCAAATATTTATTCAATCCAGGGAAAGGAACCAAGTGACAAAAATATGATACAGAGCCTTATTAATTTTTTTAGGTGTGTATAATATCCAAACGAATCTCTAGACTCTACTCACCAACCTATCATCATTACTATTACATTCATTTTTCCTCTACAAAGTTGCAGTCATCACTATTCAAAGTTTTTTAAACTCTGCAACTCATAAAAAATAATAATTCTGCCATGGTGCCAGCAGAGCCTTCTCCAATCTAATCTAGTCTATGTTTTTAATTTCACCTTCCACTGTTCTTGTTTTCTTTGGCCAACCTAAACCCAGGAAACAAACTATAAATCTTCCTGTTTATGATTTTCTTAGTTTCCTCTACTTGAATGACATTTTTATTTGTATAAACACATTTATTCTATCATTAGGTAGCAAATATGTACTGATCACTGGCTATGTGCCAAGCACCATTCTAAGTGCTAATTTAACAGTAAGAGAAAGCACACATGCTGTGAAGAATCTTGTATTTTTGTGTCCAGCAAAACACCAGATACTTTGAGAAGACTTCCTTAATTCTGCTCTCTATAACCCAAGATGGAAAGTTACCTTTTTGTCACTGTCCTTTGTTTTGTATTATGCTTATTTTTGCTTATATTTTTTCTCCATCTGAAGAGAACAAAAATCTATTTCTGGTTCATATTTATATTTTAGCTGGAACCAACTGTACTTAGTAAACATTTAGTGAATGAAGAAAAGCAGTTCAACCCTTTCTTCTTATCATCTGCCTTTTTCTGGTTGCAGTATCTCACTTATAGTTTGTAATTTTTTTGACCACTCATGCCAGTTTAGCACCCGAAATATCCAATTTCTGCTAGATCATGGCATTCCTTGCTTCAGACCCTTAGATGGCTCCTTTCACTCAAAATAAAAACTCAAATTCTTACTGTCCTGAAGACCTGAAGTGATTTGGCTACTGTTTTTAGATATGCATATTAGAACTTTCTCCATCACTTGTCCAGTACCACCCATGGTGTCTTCCTTGATGTTCCTTATTATATCACGTGGCTACCTCTGATTTACCCTTCCAGTCCTCCCAGCCTGAAAGCCTTGCATCACCATCTCTTGATGCTTCAAATGTCTGTTTAAAAAAACTATTTTTCAGGGAGTCCTACAGAAACACCCTATTACAATTTCAGCATCCTAATAATCCCCACCACTCATGCTCCAGGACTCCCATCTTTCTTCTCTGATATTTAATTGAACCTGTGTTTTCTTCTAGAAAGTAAACTTCTTGAATCCTGGGAATTTAACTGTTGCATCTCTAGCTCTGGAAAAATTTCTGGAACTTATCATGTGCTGTTTTTCTTGTTTTGGTCAAATAAATTGTTGAATGACTTGTGTTCTACTGTAATTAGTTAAATAACACCTTGGAGGCTAAATGCAAATGATGTTGCATAAATATTAAATTTCAAAATGCAAATAATTTACAGATAGTTATACAATAGTTTCATTGTTTTATAAAAGTTATATGTGTTCATTGTAAGAAGTTAGACTGGTTTGGCTCAGGAAAGCTTTACCCTCTCTGTTTTTATGAGGAAAACATTAGTCTTCATTTCCCTAGTCTCATAATTTCAGTGTTTCTGTTAAAAGGGTTGCTTTCACTTTAAATCATTTTGATTTAGGAAGTAAAGTAGGAATTTTATC